GGAAATGATTTAAAGCCCTCAAATTTGAATTTTTGGTATGAAAAAATCTCATTAAAAATTATACATTCAAAAATAAAAAAGATTTTTTTAAAAATGTATCAGCTTGAATATACAGGCTTTTGAAGTAAATCAATAAGTGGGGTCCATGTAACTTTGCAATGATTTCTTTTACTCCTCCCAATGTATTGGTACACGTGTGGCCATTAGAATCCACAACTATTAGTGGTGGATACATTGGGAATTACATAAATTTTGGTTGTTTTTTTTGAAAATTTTAATACTTTATGCACAACGTACAATTAAACTAAGCTTGAAATTTTTTTTTGATTGACAAAAATGCCCTTGATCGTCCTGGTCGTCTTCGCCTTTCTATATAATAGAAATATATATATATAGTATATAGTAATAAATAGAACAAGATAAAACTATATAGTAATAAATAGAACAAGAAAGATATATGAGCCTCGTACTTGCACGAGTTCAATATAAGTTTTTTTTTAATCTCATTTTTTGTGATACAAATAAAATTTAGAGAGTCAGTTAAATTTTAATATACGTTTTAGATATTTTAAGTTGTTAGTTATTTTGATTTATAGTATATTTTACAGAATTTACAAGTATTATATGTTACTCCATATGTTTCAATTTATGCGGCACTGAATTTTGAATTATTATGATCTATGGTAATTTTTATGTCATTTTCAAATAATGTATGTTAGTTCTGTTATCTCGATTTTATTTGGTACTTTTAGAATTTTAAAAGTCAACTAAATATTTTGTATGTCTTTTAAATATTTTAAGAATTTAATTATTATTATTTACAGTCATCTAATATATGTTACTCCTACTATTTCAATTCATGGCAGTAATAATAAAATTTCAAAAATTACTTTCGTTTTTAAATGGTTAATTTATCATTTTAAGTCATTTCAATTCACCCCTATTCAATTCGTTCATCTGTCATTGAACATAGACTTAAAAAGAACAAAAAAGGCAATTACTCTGGAATATTGTAGAAGCTTCCTACTGTTCCTATCTATAGTTAACTGAAGACGATTCTTGATTACACTCGAATTCCATAGGTTTATCAGTTCATCGCCTATATATATCACAGACACTTTCTCCAATTCATCATCAGCAAGTCATCAAGCAAATCAAACACTACCATCAAAAGTTCAAAAGTAATCTGTTTTCTTCAAACAAGAAAGCTTCCAAAAACACTACCATCAAAAGTAATCTGTTTTCTTCAAACAAGAAAGCTTCCAAAAATGTCTCTGATTCCAAGCTTCTTCGGTGGTCGAAAGAGCAACATCTTTGACCCATTTTCCCTCGACTTATTCGAGGGCTTCCCAATTTCAACCAATGTCCCATCCTCTGCTCGTGAAGTCTCTGCTTTTGCAAATGCAAAAATGGATTGGAAAGAGACCCCAGAAGCTCACATCTTCAAAGTGGATGTTCCGGGGATCAAGAAAGAGGAAGTAAAAGTTGAAGTGGAAGAAGGAAGGATTTTACAGATTAGCGGTGAGAGAAGCAGAGAACAAGAGGAGAAGAATGATCAGTGGCACCGTGTGGAGAGGAGTAGCGGTAAGTTTTTAAGGAGATTCAGGCTGCCGGAGAATACAAAGACGGGAGAAATAAAGGCAGCGATGGAGAATGGGGTGCTCACTGTGACTCTTCCTAAAGAAGAAGAGAAGAAGAAATCTGAGGTAAAAGCCATTGACATCTCTGGTTAAACAAGTGCAGATAATTTGTAATAGTAATGTTTATTTTGTTAAGTATTTTTGTGTTTGTTGGGAGATTACGCTCTTAATCTGAATTATGTGTATGTGTAATTGTTTAAGATTGTCGGTCTTCTTCTCTTTGCAGTTGTAAACAAGAAATTCCTTTTAGTAACATTTATTTAGTTGTTTCTCTTTTTCATCCCCTTAATCATTTCTAACAAATGATGAATATCTCTCCTAATTCGGCATTAAAAGCAAATTGTTATGTGATTAATCTTTTTTTTCTTTCCGCAAAAGCCACCAATGGTGGGGTTGGGATTCAATGAGGATACCCAACACATATTATCACAAAAAGCTAGAGAGGGAATACCATCAGAATATCTAATAACTGTACAAAGATCAAACCAAGTAGTAGGCAGATGAATATGAGGAAAATGGCTATTGAGGAGCATAGTTGCGTTATTACAAACCTGATGAATAATATCTCTTATAGACATGTGGATATTTATCAAATCTTGCCTTACATCTGCTTTCCAAAATTTTCTAGCACATAAATATGGGAATATACTGTAGCAGAATGTCATGCATTCCGTTTTGTTTTTGGAGTTATTGAGCATTAGGAGCTGATTAACATCACCATCATTAATATTACTACCAAAATTATGGCAAAAGAAGGAACACACTTGCTTGGCAATGAAGCTTTTGCAAAAAAGGTGCAAAGTGGTCTCTTGTTGATAGTTGCTACAACATGAACATCCAGAAGGGATCTTAACTTTGCATTTATGAATGATGAGTTCTTGTGATTTCTTCAAATCTGCTAAGCAGGTGACAAGAGAACTTACCTTTAGCATCGTGTGTCCAAATAGGTCTATACTCCTTCCCAGAATGAATTTTAATAGATAAGATATCATTTATAAGATTATGAGGAAGGATATCATATAAATTGAAAAACTGTTGTTAAATTGAGTGATCTTAGCTAGGGCACCAATGCCAATCCAATTGTCCCACCAAAAGGAAATATTACCAATACCTATTTTCCAGAGAATATATTCTCAGAAATATCCTTGATGTTCATTAGTCTTCTTCAAATATGAAGGTGGCATGTTGCGTACCTAGCCGCGCAAGTAATATAGTTTCTTTTAGAACCGAGTTGTCGAACTAAGGGACTTATGATCAATTTATATTAACTCAATTATTTCGACACTTTAAAAGATGTACTTTCAAGAGATTGTGATTTTGGTTTACTACGACTACTAACAATTAAATTAATTAAAGTAACTAACAAGGATGAGTTCAATTTGATGATTTAAACAAGTAGGAGACAATTTCAGGGCTGCAACATGCATAGGGTTTCATGTATCGCGTCTCAAGTAATGAATTAACTAAGGTTATCAAATTACTGATTTTCAGGGTTGATTCTATGATCATGGTCTCCCAACCTTTAATCTCCTAATACTCTTGTTGACCGTCTAACTACATCGTTGAACGGGGATAGACATGCCCAATTGACAAGCATTTTAATTTCATTCGTAATCAAGCTTGGTGTTTGTCCGGGCTTCAATCATAAACACGAATCTAATCAAGTGATATGCAAGAAAGATCAAACTTTTTGTATTATTTGGTCTATCTACCTTATTGTCCCCGAGTCCAAGAATACACAAGATATTTATTTTTATGGCGTGGTCAATCATGAAATACTAAAATAAGAACACAAAAGTAATTTAAACGGTAATCAAGAATTAACTCATAACTGTTGATGTTCAACAATTATCCATAGCTACAACCCCTAAACAAAGGCTTTTAGCCACTCATAATGTTCATGAACTCAAAAACAATTGTCTTCATGCAGTTCCAAATTAAAGAAGTAAAGAATCGAAACCTACGATGAATTCTTTATATTTGCTCTTACACACCACAAAGAAGTCGAACCCTTACAAAATAACCCTAGGTCCTATTTATAGAGTTTAGGAAATAAATTTTCAATATTAACCCAAGTAGGAATTCTAATTAAGATTTCTAAGTTAAGACTTGAACCATTCTTCATTTGTGAAAAAGATTGTACCGACTGATTCTTAATTATTCTTAGATTCTGAGGTCAATTAGTTAGTGTGGAAATGATTTTGGATATCAATTAAGGTCACTAGAATCCCCTAGCACAAAGTTGAGTTGAAACCTTCCCTACCGAGTAAGTTTTGACCTAAGATTCTACTTAGATCAACTTCAGACAATCATATCTATCAGCACATAAAGAATTAGGTGGCCCATGACCTATCAAATTAAAGGTTTTTGAGTTCCTTTTTCAACGCCACAAAGTTTGCTTAATTTCGAGCTTGGAGTAAACCGTTATGCTCGTTTTAGTGAAGCCTCTCTTTTAAGACACCTCAATTGTTTTTAGAGGGGTAGTTTGATCTTTTCCTATTCCTTCTAAGCCTAAGTTACATTTTTTCTTCACCTAATTAAGGTTCTAATTAGTGTTAAAATATTTTTCACCTTCTTTAAAGGGTACCAGTTGTTAATGGTTCCATGCTGTAGAGATTATCACTCTGAACTTATCTTTTTTCAGAAAAAAAGAAGAAGAAGATTAAAAGGTGCCAGTTTCACTCTTCAAATCAAGTTGAATTCATATACGATAATTGCGACAGATATCAATTGAAAGTTGTTCAGGCTATCCAGCAAGATCGTTTTATGCATCTTATTTTATATTAATGGGTCCAATTGATGCAATATAAGTCTTTTCTTCTTAGAATTTAATAAATAAATGTACATTTTTTATTAACTGTCTTCATATTATCGTAACAGGTAGTTCAAATTTTATAGGTAGATAAACATTATCAAAATTTATCACAACCGTCAATGTTCACCTTTTTTTTTATTTATCTACTATAATATGTTGGTTTTTGTTTTTATTTAGTCCCTCTGTTGTAATTATCAGGACTGGTGTCACAATCTAAATTGAAGAAGAACCGTTACATAGTTAGAGGTGAAGATGAACGGAGAAGATGAGCTGTCTCGATGACTTATTTACGTCCTGACGCTCCATCAAATATGACTTCTAATAAAATAGTGTATTAGATGGTAATAGTGGAATTATTATTGTTCATATTACTATCCTGTTAAGTGGCACAATTAATAATTTTGTGATCTTTATTTAGAATTTCTTGACAATTTATTGATGGTAATTTATGATAATTACTCAGAAGATGTTGATTTGAAGGTGGATAGTCTGGCAAATGATTCTTCGCCTGAGGCAAGTGAAGTGGCAGAAGTTTAAATATATATATATATATATATATATATATATATATGTTATTATTATTTTACTATCTAGTAAAGGGGAATAGCAGGCAGCAGACCGTCAACACGTCTGCTTGTGCTGCCTGCTTATTCTCCTTGGCTGCCTCTTCATCATTTAGTTAACTGCTATATGCTCTTTATTAAAATAACATTAAAAAAAAAACTGTTACATGCTGCCACTTCTTCATCCAATGAAAATGGAAAAAGAAAATTGTCTTCTTCATCCAATGAAAAAAATGTGAAAATCTATTTAAAATTTCAATTGTAAACTTACTTTCTTAAGATGCTACATAAGAGGGAGTCATGAAAATATTTTATGGGCTTCATTTATATTTTATATTTATCATTTTTTTATTAATTATTTTTAATTTTATTATAGTTAATTCTTGAACTTCTATCGGTGAAATACCACAAATAATGGAAAAATTACGCGGTTAAGCAAACTTATACTATTTAATTACTCATCATAGCTATAGTTTACTATAACTACCACTCGCGACTAACATTATACATTAATTACGTGGGCTGACTTCGAATTTGTATAATTAGCCACATTTATATATATATAATTCATCATAATATGCAAATACATATGTATAATATACAATTATTTAACCGATATACATAGACAATTCACCTCTCTCCCACTCTCTGCCCTCTCTCGCTCACCTCTGTCCTCCTTCTCCCAATCTCGCTCGCCTCTCTCTTCCCCTCTCCCAAATCTCGCTTGACATATATACAAATGCATATGTATAATATACAATTATCTAACCGATATACATATACAATTCACCTCTCTCCCACTTTTTGCCCTCTCTCGCTCGCCTCTCTGCTCTCTCTCCCAGTCTCGCTCGCCTCTTTTCTCTCTATAACATGTAGCTACGAATTGTAATTATCAAATTATAGCAATGGAGAGTAACTAGGCTATTTTTGAGTGGCTACATGTGAAAGTTCCTCAATAAACATTACGAATTTCAAATAATGATAATTGGGCCCGTGCTAAGCATGGGCTTCCCCTTTCTAGCATATACATACACATCAAAGTCGAGAAAGATGTAGGAAATAATGAATATAAATAATGCATATAGTTGAATTAAAATGCTGATGATTGATCAGTAACCATTTTGTGGACGTAGGTCAATAAAGACTTGGATCATAAAATGAAGTGTTGTTGTGTTGCTTCACTTTTGCGGATGCAAATCAAATGTCCTCACAAATGAAATGAAAATCTACTATTTTGTTACTAAAATTTATTTATGTCATTCGTTAAAATTTTAGCTTATTTATATTATTTTTGTTTGAGAAAAGGTTTATTCATGTCATTATTAGTTAACTGAAATGACATAGATGAACCAAACTTTACACGATGACATATATGAGTTTTTTCTCAAAGTTTGCTGACATATTTGAGCTTTTTATTTTTTTAAAATGATTGTATTAATGATGTGGGCTGAATCATAATTGACCACGCATAAAAATAATTTTACAAAACTAAAATATTTTTCAATTAACAAATATTGACATGAATGAACCGTTGTTTTTATAAAAAAAAATGGTATAAATGAGCCGACTTTAAATTTGAAATTCTATAACATATTTAAGGTTTTTCCCCTTTTAACTATATGTAAAAACAAAAAGTTCAATTACTTCTTACATAAAAAGAAATAAGGTGGAATTATTCCTTCTAAAAAAAGTCTCTGGAATATTGTAGAAGCCTCTTCCTGTTCGTATCTAAATTTAACCGAAGAAGATACTAGATTACACTCGAATTGCTTGAGTTTCTCAGATTCATCGACTATAAATATCACAGATACTTTCTCTAGTTTATCATCAGCAAGTCATCAAGCAAATCAAGCACTACAATCAACAATTTAAAAAATCCTCTGTTTTCTTCAAA